AGGGCGCAGAGCGGGGCGCAGAAGCGGGGCGCAGAGCGGGGCGCGGGGCGGATTTGCAGAGCCGCCTCCGGGCCGGGGCTGTCGGACGGAGCAGTGAGCGGCGCCTCCGGGCCGCAGTTTGAGTTTGTGCTAACAGCCCGACCACGGCCCCTCCCTGCACAGGCCTCTGCTGCCACCCCGGGCCTGGCGCTGGAACCCGGGCCTGGCTCTTTCTGCTCAAGACGAGTGCTCGACCACCGGAGCCACAGCTCCACGTCCCTGGCTTTTGAAAGTAGTTGGTTGGGTCCTCAACTCCCAGCCTCCCGAGCAGCCCGGCGCACAGCACCGGCTTCTGCCTAACGGAAGCGGGCAGCGCCGCGAGGCCCAGCCGCGCATGATCTGTTACTAGCTGTGACTACAGACGTGTGCCATGGTGTGAGACTCAGTGTGGTCGTACCGCTAGCACCTACTTGGGTTAAGTATCTGGTCAAGCATTTGAGACAAATGACAGACTTTTTTTTTGGGGGGGGGGGTCCGGTTGTGGAGCCTGAACTCTGGGCCTGGGTGCTGTCCCTCAGCTCTTCAGCTCAAGGCTGGCGCTCTACCACTTGAGCCACAGCGCCACTTCCGGCTTTTTTCTTATGTGGTGCTGAGGAATCAAACCCAGGGCCTCAGGCATGCAAGGCAAGCGCTCTACCACTGAGCCATCTTTCCAGCCCCATGACAGACCCCCCCCCCCTTTTTTTTACACTCTAGAAATGGAGATTAGAGGTAAGACATTTGTGTGGCACTTATGTATTAACCCTAACCAACTGATTTTGGATTCAGGCAGCTGACAACCATGAATGAATGGATGAAGAAAAGCCCCTTAGAGTGGGAAGATTATGTTTATAAAGAAGTCACAGTGGTAGCCAGTGAGAATAAGGAGTATAAAGGATGGTTTTTAACTGCAGATCCAGTCTCTGCCAAGTGAGTACACATCCTGCTTCCCTGAAATCCTGGCCATCTTGTGTTGCTGTATGGGGTACCTACACTGGAAGGCAGCAGAGTGAAAGGTTAATATGCTGTTTTAACGATGGATTATTCTCTCAGATAAGAAAGTTCATTGGAATGGGCTATCGAAATTCATTTCTTGTATTTGTAGTAAAGAATTTCAAATGTACATAAAGGTAAAGAATAATAGGATGGACACTTTGCACCTCTTCCTAAGTTGGTTTTATTTTGTTGTCTTTTGTGCCAATACTGGAGCTTGAATTCAAGGCCTAGGCACTGTCCCAGAGCTTTTGTGGTTAAGACTAGTGCTCTACCACTTGAGCCACACCTCTACCTCCAGCTTTTTTTTTTTTTTAATTGGAGATAAAATTTACACAGACTTTCCTGCTTAGGCTAGCTTTGAACTGTGATTCTCAGATCTCAGCGTTTTGAGTAGCTAGAGTGACAGGCATGAGCCATCAAGGCCTGACTCAGATTTATATTTTACAAATTCATGGAGGTACACAGACACATGATTCTTGTTTTGGAATGGTTTTTGATTAATAGAGTGTTAATCTTTTTTTTTCTTTTTCCTTCCCCCCCTTCCCCTCTCCCAAGTCATGGGGTTGCACTCAGGGCCCGGGCACTGTCCTTGAGCTTCTTTTGCTTTAGGCTAGCCTAGCATCTACCACTTGAGCCACAAACACCACTTCCAGCTTTTTCTGTTTATGTGGTACTGAGGAATCAAACCCAGGGCTTCATGCATGCAAGGCAAGCACTACCACTGAGCCACATTTCCATCCCCCATCAATTAATAGAAAAGTGACAAACTACAGAGCAGCTGTATATTTTTTCATTCAGCTTCTCTTGTTAACATCTTATATACTCATAAATTCGTTCTAACTGATAACTTGCATTAACTCGATAGTATCCAGCTTTTACCAGTATTTTCACTAATAGCCTCTTTCTGTTTCAGGATCCCATGTTACATTTAGTTGCTTTATCTCCTTAGTCTTCCCTTAGTTATTATGATGTTGACTGGTGTTTCTTTATGTTTTTGTTATGGTACAGGGGTTTGCGCCAAGGGCCTTGCACTGTGACTTGGCTTTTCACTCACAGCTAGCACTCTACTATTTGAGCCACTTTTCTACTTCCAGCTTTATGCTGCAGGCTGTTGTCAGGTAGAAACTGGTATCTCCCCTCTGGGGGACCTAGGGTTACAAGTATAAATCACCTCACCCAGCTGTCTGCTTAGCTTCCTCCATCCCCCTCCATTTTGTAGAAGCAATTTACAGTTTTTAGAGTTTTTAAGTTTCAAAATTATTGTCATAAACTTGTTCTTAGACTTTTCTATTTTATCTTTGCTGCTTCCTTTTTAGTTTTTATATATGTTCCCTCTCTTTTTTTTTTTTTTTTCTGGCCAGTCCTGGAGCCTGAACTCAGGGTCTGGGCACTGTCCCTGAGCTTTCCAAGGCTAGTGCTCTACCACTTGAGCCACAGCGTCACCTCTGGCTTTTTCTGTGTATGTGGTACTGAGGAATTAAACCCAGGGCTTCATGCATGCTAGGCAAGCACTCTACCACTAAGCCCTCCTTCCCTCCCTCTTTCTGTTAATCTTTATCGTCTTTTTGTTGATACCAGCGTTTTCTCCCCTCTTCTCCCCGCCTCCCAAGTCCTGGGGCTTGAATTCAGGGCCTGGGTGCTATTCCTGAGCCTTTTTATGCACAAGGCAAGTGGTCTACCACTTGAGCCACAGCACCACTTCTGGTTTTTGAGTGGTTTATTAGAGATAAGCGTCTCACAGGAGACTTTTCTGCCCAGACTGACTTCAAACCACAATCCTCTTGAGTAGCTAGGATTACAGGTGTGAGCCACCAGCACCTGGCCATATCAGGATTTTCACTCATAGCTTCATATTTACTTTGGTGGTTTGCTCATTCATCTGATATTCTACCACTCCAGCCACATCTCACCCAAGCTTTTTACTGGTTATTTTGGAGGTGGAAGCTGATAAAACTTTTCTGCCTAGGCTGGCTTTGAACATCAATCCTCCAAACCTCAGCCTCCCAAGTTGTTAGGATTACAGACGTGAACCACCAGTGCTTGGCCTTGTTTGTTTGTTTTTTTATTAATCTTGACTGAGTTTTGTGAATGAATGTATATTTTTCAAAGGACGATTTTTGCATTAAATGGTATTATTGGCTTTTTTATTCTTGGTATTGGAGATTAAACCCAAGGCCAGGCACATGCTAAGTACATGCTCTGCCATTGCCCCCACCCCTATTAACTTAAGGGAGTACATTTTCTGTGTACTACAGTGTTCATAGCTTTAAGCTGTGAAAAAGGCTTGGCTATTGAGGACCTCAGGGAGTGCTTGTTGAGCTAGTAAAAGCATTTGGTGGTGGGACATTGAATTTCAAATAGGGAAAGTCGTTCCCTTTTCCGGTGACCTGTGGTTGATGATGCTGCTTAATCCATTTATTCTTTCATAGTTTAAGGGCCTTTCCATTTTTCCCTTGCTAATTTGCTTTGAATTTACTTTTCCTCCCAAGTATTGTCCTTGTGAACTTCCTTGAAGATGGCAGTTTGTCTGTGACTGGAATTATGGGACATTCTGTGCAGACTATTGACGTTGTGAATGAAGGTGACCACAGAATGAGAGAGAAGCTGACACATCTGTTCATGTCTGGAGATTACAAGGGACATAGCCCTGAGGATCTGGAAAAGAAGAAGGACAGCCTAAGGAAATGGCTTGAGAAGAGCCACATTCCCGTCACTGAACAGGGAGATTCACCGAGGACTCTCTGTGTGGCTGGGGTTCTGACTATAGACCCACCGTATGGGCCAGAAAATTGCAGCAGCGCTAATGAAATTATTTTGTCCCGGGTTCAGGATCTCATTCAAGGACATCTTGAAGCTTACCCCCCAGGAGGTCAAGAACTTTGAATACAGAGATTGAAATTGATTTCATTATTTTGTTCTTTGAAAAATGTGTTCCTTATAATACAGTATTTCAGAGGCATATATGGTTGTGTGCATATGTATATTTTAAGTTTTTATTATTTTAGTAAAATAAGAAAAATGGAATTTTCTTTTTTTGTTTGTTGTTCAGTCATGGGGCTTGAACTCAGAGCCTAGGTATTGTCCCTGGGCTTTTGTGCTCAAGACTAGATTTACCACTTGGAGCTACAGCTCCACTTCTGGTTTTCTAGTAGTTATTTGGAGATGAGTCTCCTAGACTTTACTGCTTGGGCTGGATTCAAACTATGATCCTCAGATCTCATCCTCCTCTCCTGAGTAGCTAGGATTTATAGGCATGAGCTGCTAGCACCCAGCTGAAATTTTCTTTTTTTTGGTGATCCTGGTGCTTGAACTTGGGGCCCAGGTGCTAGCCCTGAACTTCTTTGCTCAAGGCTAGTGCTCTACCACTTGAACCACAGCTTCACTTCAGACTTTTTGATAGTTAATTGGAGATGAGTCTCATGGCCTTTCTTGCCCCAGTTGGCTTTGAACCTTGATCCTCAGATCTCAGCCTCCTGAGTAGCTAGGATTACAGGTATGAGCCACCGGTGCCCAGTGAGTAAAACAATTTAAAAGAGTAATGATACAGGATTTCAGGGGCTTTATCCTGGTTGGCTGACTCTGGCTTTGGACCTGGGGTCTAAACACTCTACTACATCAGTCCCTTCTTGTGTTGATTATTTCTGCCTAATGACTTAAAACAACTCTTTGGAAGCCCAAGTTGCCTTTTGTTCTAAAAATAATTGTTGACACCATGCTTAAAGGCTATCCTGGCAGCTGCCCAGAGCCAGCTGTCAGAGCCAGGTGTGGGGAAGAATCTCTCCAGAGACTCTAGAGTCACGGATGCTGGTAGTCTGGAGGAGCAGGGGTCAGCCACAGGTGAGCTAAACTCCTGAGACAGTCTTAGCTGAGGCCCTGCTAGAGAAACGCCCTAAGCAGGCACTTTACTTGGCAGGGCTGCATCATTTATCCTTTCCAGTACTCAGTTTTTGTTTGTAGGCGAATTGTTTAAACAACCAGAGGACTCAGTTGCCAAGAAACAGTCTGTGTCCCCAGCTCATTAGTGTAACAGCAAATAACATCTACCAACGCAATGCACCCCACCCTGTCCCTGAGCCCAGATGATGCTGAAATTTCCTGCATGGCTTCTCCCTTTTCAAGGGCCTCCTCCATCTTTTCAGAATCATTTCCGGGCCAAATTTAGGTCTTACTCCCCTTCCTGTAATTCCCTTCTAAAGATTTGGGGCTTGGAATATTGGTTACAAAGAGAAAAGCTATGCTGTACGTTTTGCTTTCAGAAAAGGAACTGAAATGCTGTCAGGAAGAGACCTGTTCCCCTGAAGTTTCTATAGTGTGTTTACAAATGTGATCTAGTGGTTATCACCATTAGCTAGGTTTTTAGAAATGCACATTTCTGCCAGGCATGGTGTTAAGCACTGTTGCCCCAACACTTGAAGACAGAAGGAAGATCTGGGCCCAGAGTTCAAACCCCAGTTCTGCCACTAAAATAAAATAAATTCCAGCTGTGTGGCTCACACCTGTAATCCTAGCTATTCAGTAGGCTGAGGTCTGAAGATTGAGCTTCAAAGCCAGCCTGGGCAGGAAAGTCCGTGAGACTCTTACCTCCAATTAATCACCAGAAAACTGGAAGTGGTGCTGTGTCTCAAATGGTAGACTGCTAGCCTGGAGTTGAAGAACTGAGGGACAGCACCCAGGCCCGGAGTTCAGGCCCCATGATTGACAAAAAAATATAAAAAATATTCCAATACTTACCTGCTTCTTACTTTTATTTATTTATTTATTTTTTGCTTGGTTGTGGGGCTTCAACTCTGGGCCTGGGCTCTGTCTCTTAAGCTCTTCAGCTAAAGGCTAGTGCTCTACCACTTGAGCCACAGCACCACTTCTGCTTTTTACTTTTACATATTTCTAAACCTTTAAAATGTTTTACATTATTATAATCAAAGTGCATATTTTTCCTTTGTTTCTGTAGTTTTCATAATTGTGTTGATGATTCAAGTTGGTAAAACACTCCCTTATTATCAAAGATATTAACATAAATGCACAGAATGAAAGTACTATGTCAGACCATGATCATATATAGAATTTCCCAGTATAGTTTTTTTTTTTTTTTGGTTTCTATAGTAGTTTATTATGAAAGATATTAGAAACAGCCTTCTGGAAGAGATGGATAGGGTAAGGTATGAGAGGAGGCAATCAGACTATACCCACATTAGATAAATCTTGATGTGTACCAACTTAGAAGCCCTCTCTGGACCCCATGACCTTAACCTTGTATAGGGTTGTTTGTTTGCTTTGGTTGTGGGGCCTGAACTCAGGGACCAGATTCTTGTTTCTAAGCTCTTTTGCTCAAGGTTACCACTTTGAGCCACACTGCCACTTCCAGTAGTTGGTAGTTAATTGGAGATAAGAATCTCACGAGCTGGGAGCTGGTGGCTCATGCATGTAATCCTAGCTACTCAGGAGGCTGAGATCTGAGGATTGCCGTTCAAAGCCAGCCCAGGCAGGAGAGACCGGGAGACTCCTATCTCCAATAAACCACCAGAAAACCGGAAGTGGCACTGTAGCTCAAGTGGTAGAGCGCTCGCCTTGAGCTGAAGAGCTGAGGGACAGCGCCCAGGCCCAGAGTTCAAGCCCACGGCCGACCAAAAAAAAAAAGAGTGCAGGGACAGTACCGAGGCCCAGAGTTCAAGCCCCACAACCGACAAAAAAAAGAAGAATCTCCTGCCTGGGCTGGCTTCAAACCACGATCCTCAGATCTCAGCCTCCTGAGTAACTAGGATTATAGGTGTGAGGCACCAGTGCCTGGCTCTTTTTTCCATTTGATTTAAAATATTATTATTATTACTATAAAGGTGATACACAGAGGGATTATAGTTCTTATGTAGTTTTGTTTTTTTTGGGGGGGGTCCGGTCATGGGGCCTGAACTCTGGGCCTGGACGCTGTCCCTCAGCTCTTCAGCTCAAGGCTAGCGCTCTACCACTTGAGCCACAGCACCACTTCCTGCTTTTTTCTTTTTGCTTATGTGGTGCTGAGGAATCGAACCCAGGGCCTCGAGCATGCAAGGCAAGTGCTCTACCACTGAGCCACCTTCCCAGCCCCAATACTTAGATTTTTAATGTTAATTTTAGATCCATATATACATACTCTTCTATCCCATCTACCTTATCATTTAGAGACATGGTCTTGCTACGTGGCACTGACTCAAACACAGATCCTTCTGCCTCAGCCTCCTGAGCACTGGAATTAGAGATGTGTACCACCATGCCTGGCTTTATCACAGCTCATTTACAGAAAAGGTTAGTTCTGGAAGTATGGCTTTTATGGAACATTTTCCATTACTCTTTGCCCTTAAACAAGCAGGGAAATTGAGGATTAAAGTGGAAATTTAAAAATGGTATGGGTTAGAAAATCAAAAAGCTCTTTGGCACTGTAGCTGTCCTCTCACGGTTTTGCTTTTGTTATTTTTTGTTTTGTCAGTCCTGGGGCTTGAACTCAGGCCTAGGTGCTGTCCTTGAGCTGTTTTGCTCAAAGGTAGTACTCTACTCTACTCTGAGCTATAGACCCACTTCTGGTAGTTAATGGGAGATAGTCTCATGGGCTTTCCTGTTAGGGCTACCTTTGAATTATGATCCTCAGATCTCAGCTTCCTGAGTAGCTAATCACAGGCAGGAGCCATTAGCACCAGGCTTGCCTGCCTGCCTGCCTGCCTGCCTTCCTTCCTTCCCTTCTTCTTCTTTCTTTCTTTCTCTCTCTTTCCTTTTTTCTTGCTCTCTTTCTTTTTTTTTTGTCGGTTGTGGGGCTTGAACTCTGGGCCTGGGCGCTGTCCCTCAGCTCTTCAGCTCAAGGCGAGCGCTCTACCACTTGAGC